TCTAGTTGGTACTTTGGGGGGGGGGGGGGTAAAAGTTGAAAAAGTTTAATTCTTCACAGACGAAAGTTGAAAAAACCAAAAAAAAAACCGTACGAGTTTTTAAGTTAGAACTTTTACTGGCTATAATTTCGAGAAAAAGAGTCGGATCGAGTTGAAATGTATAAGAAATAATTATTTGGTATGCCCGCACACGTCAGTTGTGTCAAACTTAAACTATACCCATTTCCCACCCCCCAGGGGGGGTACAATTTTTTTTGTTTTTCCGGGTTTTTAGCGGTAATTTTAAAAATTTTGGGTTGAAAATTTGGCAGTAGTTGGAACTCATATGTACCCATAACATATTAAACGGGAAAAAAATTCGGCACTACAGTTTTTTTTTAATTGCCGGGAAACTGTGTTTTCGCAGACTTCGTATATTTTAACAAAAACACCTAAAATCTTTAAAAAAAATTGATCAAATCATTAAAACAATTTTATTTATATCTATGCAGAATGATACTATTAGGTTTTGTGCTCAAGTACCACTCTTGACTTAAAGTTTACACAAAGTTCATTTTTTTTTTTACTAAAAACTAAAAACCCAGTGTACCAGATGTGAGAAACGAACAGACACTAAAAACTATCAGTTGGTAACGTCTATCCGTGTTAGATTAGGTTAGGGCCCAATGATCGGTATCATAACATAGTGTTTATTACATGATATCACAGGCGACTAAATCATGTAACTGATTATAGTAGACACTCGATTTATTGGGAAAAAAACGATACGACAAAACCACTGTCGATATCTCGTTATTTTATAGCCTGCGTTATATTACCGTACCGAAAGTCAACTATGAGTATATAAGGTCCAACTACCTGCAAATTATGAAGAGGACTGTTGTTTTTTGGATTCAGATTAAGTGTTGGTTTTTATGCAGTATACCGCCTCAACATGTATTTTTTATTACACAATTTTTTTAAAGGAAAACTAATGTTTTGTATATTGTTATACTGTTATTCATTTAAAGAGATTCACGCTTGATTGTTTGAATTGTCTAATATTAGATAATCTGATTCGTGCTAATTTTAATTTTTTAGTTTACCAACTTGTAGCTCTAATTTTGTATAAAATATTTCATTATTTTATTACTATGTACTATTACTATTAGGATAAATTTTAATAATAATTAAGTCATAAATGATAATATTTTATTTTATGACTAGATCAAATCTCGTGAACATCATGATACTGCTCCTATGCTATTATTAAAAAAACAAAATTTTTAAAATCTCCATAAAAGGTGTTTGTTAAATAACAGGCAACAGCCGACCGCTAGTGGCTATACACGTTAGTAATATTTAACTAATAAGTAATATATGTAGGTAAAATTTATTGTTTTCTCCATCACAGTACCAGTATACGATTTATTTTAATTTAAATGTAAGAAAATCGATTTTTCTTTAGAAAATAACAAGAAATTAATATACAGGATGAGGCAGTAAAACGGCGATTTTCTAATGTATTTAAATGGTAAAACTCGTTTCACTATCCCACCCTTTACATTTTAAGTATCTATGAAAAGGTTTTTTTAGTTGCATTTTATTTTGTACATTGTCAATCTAGTAAAATAGAAGTATAATATAGCTTTGAAATAATATAATCTATGAAGTATAAATAGTTTGTGTGAGATTGCTTTAATGGAAGTATATAACACATAAATATTAATTTTATTGAGAATAAGCGATTATAATTTAAACTATGGAGTACAAACGATTGGAACATGAATCGTCGACCATTCCAACAAAATATAACAAGACATTGTATATGTGTTATTTGGTCCACTAAGTTTTTGCAAAAAAAAAAAAACCAGTACAGTGGGGTCGGTGCATAGTGGGGACGGAACATAGTTGGGTCGGGGCATATTGTTTTAAATGAAGGTTCTGTATTTACAAATGAGCATCAAAGCGTTAATTTGAAAGCGATTTTATTCAATTTTGTCACTTTTATTTATAATAATTCTTGTAGACCTGTGACCTCTCCGTTTCCTCATTGCTTTGATTACATTATGCCAATACTCTACTGTACTAGTCCTCTCGGATAAAATCACTTTCAAATTAACGCTTTGATGCTCATTTGTAAATACAGAACCTTCATTTAAAACTTTCTAACTTTGCTGGTTTATACTGTGCTTGGTTTGGACTGTACTGGCTTGAAAATACTAACTACCGATTTGCATCGAAGCGTTTTTTCGAAAGTGATTTTATCACTTTCAGATTTAAAAATTCCTGTAAACCTGTGACCTCCCCATCCCCAATATGCCCCGACCCAACTATGTTCCGTCCCCACTATGCACTGACCCCACTGTACTGGTTTTTTTTTTTATGGTGTTAAATCTATTGAATATCGGTACCTAATGTAGGTACGTGTGTATGTCGATCAAGTCCTCTTTACATAATAACTTTGGATGGCTTGACTTAAACTGTTGATATTTTAACACTTTTTTTTGTATTTTAGAGATTACATTGAATTTTGAAGGAATATATTTACTTTGATCTTTTTTTTTTATCAGTCTACAGTAAGTCAAAAATATTTTTTTTTAGAATTTTTAGTTTTTTATTAGTTTCCGAGTTGAAGTTTTTTTTTTATCAAATTTCGAATTAAGAATGTAACTTTTTTAGTTTTTGTTGTAAATTTTTTTTTTTTTTTTTACATGATATAAGAAATATTTTATTTTACATGTTTGGTGGTCAATATCATATTTTCTAAAATTTAATGTTATAAAGTTAATCTTATGATTAAGTACCTAGGTATTATTTTTTTAAAATAAAAACAATGAAAAAATCTGTTTCGAAATAGATTTTGTTTTTCTCTGTTAGAACAAATAACTTAACTAAAAGTTTTATAACCAGCCTAAAACGTATACCGTAAAATATTTATTTTTTCTTTAATAAATTGGCTTAAATGTTTAAAATAGCTCTTAGATAAATTGTTTTCAATTATTGCCTTTATTTTGCCCTTTAATAAAATAGGTTGGATAAAGTGTAGCAACTTTACAAATAAATCGGCCGAGTGCTACTAAACAATTGTACATAAAATTTATAATTTTGTTTTGTCAATACACTTAACATTGCAACCCTTTAACATCACTCGGTTAAAATGATTTAATACAAAATTTTCTATTTACTGTATTTTTATGAAATGCAACAACATATTAACAATAGGGTAAGATAATAATGGGTACATTTAATATTACTGAAATACAAGCGTTTAATGGTCAAAAGCGGACAATGGTCTTTGATGTTCTGTGCCCACATTAAACATTGTAATTGGTTGGACATAACTTTCGCCGCCCCGTGGTTTACACTGCAAGTGAGGTTTAAAAATGTCTAATATAAAGTCTAATTATACAAAACGCAATTACTATTATAACACTTATAGCAGCCCCTACTAGTGTTGTAGAACTAGCTATATTCTTATAATTAATGTTATTACCTAAATCTAAACAAGTGTGCTCATACAGATTGATAATACCTAGTACTGAGGCTACTGAGTGGCCGACATGTGACTTAAAAGATTTTAGAAAAAACAAGTTGTTTTCATATTTCCTATATCGTTTGTGTACTTAAGTGTTTGACAATTTTTTTCTGAAATCACTGTAGCATCGTAAAAAAATGAAAAGTCTTCTAGCTATAATATAATCACATAACATACTATAACAATGTATGCTATTTTACACCATTAGTCATATAACTTACATTTAAAATTTGATTTCTATCTTATGTTTACACAAAAGCCATCGATTTATTTTCTTACATTATAATATACAGTATTTTACAACTATTTGTATAGTTTTATTTTTTTCTTATAGATAACAAGTTGTTTTTCTCAAAAACTATTGCAATATAAATTATTGCAAATTTTAATTTGTTTAAATATAATATAATATTATTATAATAATTGTGGTGAATACCTATTTTTGACATTTACATACAATTAATATTTTCCTAAATAAAAAATGTTTTCTAGTTATAACTTAGTTACAAGGAGTTTTTGTAAAATCATTTATCATGTAAATTGAAATCCAATATTTCATTATTGTTTTTTTACCCAACCCAAGTTGTTTTCCACAGCGATTGCCGTAATTTAAACAAATGATAAATTCCTGTAGGTGTCATATTATTATTGTTTATCTATCGAATACCAGTTGTTTTTCTTAACATATTTTGTAGTTGTTTATGTATTGCAATGCTTGAACTACTTTATTTCTTAAACAATAGAACCTTAATGTTTATGATAATTATTTATAATTTATGTATTCGACTTGTATTTTTAAATAAAATTAATTTTTTGTACTAAATACAAAATTTTTTCACAAATTGTATAGTTTTGAATTGTATGATATGTTTTTAACATGAAACATGTTGTTAGCAAAATTAACATACTGAAAACATGTTGTTTTCTTTAATGACTGTTGCAGTGTAAATAAATCACAACCCCTCTGCCCCTAAGGGCAGTATACTTTTAAAGATTTAAGAACATTTATAACGATTTATATAAATTTACCTCTAATAAAGTAACAAAATGAATAAATCATAACGATTACTCTAAAATGTGTGGGCAAGATTGTTTGTAAAATAATCTGGCTATGATTTAATTAGCTACAACTTCTATTAAACACTTTATACTTAAGGACGAAAAACCTAAATCTACTGCAATCATTTAAACTCAAATTAGATTTTCGCGTTTAAAATTATATTATAGCCGTTATCATAGTAAAGTTGTTTATCTTCTAATTTTTTATAGCTACATACAAAACTTAATCAATTTTTATAGTATGTATGCGTATATACAATACTACCTATCACTAATAGTATGTTTGTTAGCTGTTTATTTATTGGTATGGACGTTGTTTTGTTTTTAATAAATAACTCGGCATATTTTTTTATAATAGGTAATAATAATAAAAAAAAAAATAATAATAATAATGATATTACAAAATATTTTACATACACAATGTTAATTTTTTAATAATTAGGAAATGTGGCACCTAAATTAAAAATGGCCAAAGATCACAATACATATATATATATATATATATATATATTAGAATTAGAGACGTAGTCAAGAGATGGCGTTTATCCGAAGTTTTCGAAATGGTGAATGAAATATGGTAATTTTCTGCCTTTGTTCACTTCTTCGCAAGCTGACATAACGCTCTTGGTTAAAGGTCTCGGACCACAGCTGAACACTCCGATTTTGCTCACCTGAAATAAAATATACAATTATACAATATATATTCTAATTTGTAATTTAAAAACTTGGCCAATATGAAAAAAAAAAATGTTCAAGCCACCCGAAGAGTGAACTTACGTAGCTGTGTTTCTTTTGGACGAATTTCAAAAACGACGACATGTCTGGTCTACCGAAATGATTGACCGCTTTCAAACCGGTAAACATGCTCATTTTGCTCAGTCGTTGGAAGTGATTTTCACATATGTACTGTGGAACAAACGAAATTACAACCATTAGGTTACGTTTGGTCAGGTTATGTTGTACTCGTTGTACTCACCAACATGGTAGTTCTCAAGTCGAACTTGTGGAAAAATTGCGTGATGAATATATGGATCTCGAGCACGTTGGTGACATCTTTCTTTTCGACATCCCGCAAAACGTCAATAAACCATTCGAAATGTTTGTGCGATGGACAAATCCACAAAAAGTACACCTTACGAACAAATAAAAAACGGGATTAGATGATAATTATCAAAGTATTCTTAAGTTTATTCTTAAAGTTCAAAGCCTAAAGCCACTTACTTTTTTACACGATACTCCGGAATAACGATTCGTGGACGTACCGAATACCAAATCGTTTAGAATGGATGCGTACGGTGTCACTCCTATACCTCCACCCACCATGACGGCCACTTCGAATTTGTACCAGTCTTGATTTCCGCCTCCAAATGGACCCTCGAGACGTATCTGTAACGATTGCACGTGGTAAGACACGAGAAACTTTAAAATCAATATTTTTCCTCAAGAAAAATGACATTGGATCATAAATATGACTTATGATCAGCTGACTTCTTGTGCCATACCTTGCATTACCTTACCCTTCTCAATCACTCCGTTTACTTTCTCTAGAATTAGAGATAAGATCTGCTGTGTGGTACACTCGAATTTAACATGGATATGTCGGCGAAGGTTAGGTTAGTGAGGGAAGGAAGAAAAAGAATGTAAAACGATGAGTCGCAAAAGAGATGGAAAGGTTAGGAGAAGGGGCAGTGGAGGTAGCAGCAGACGTTATCGTGAGTTCCCACAAAAGAGGAAATAAACGAAGGGATGGACCGTGGGGTAGGGCAGGCCAGGGACAGGAGAAAGAGGAAAGCGGAGAAATCAAATTTGTTTTTGATTGACCCTCAGTCATATAAGACATATTCTGTGAAAAAATGCATTGGAGTGGTTGAAACGCCACGCCGACTACTTGTAGTCTACCTTTGGCCGATGGAAGTCTGGGTTGATATTACTCGGATCGAAGAAGTTTCTCAGTTTCCACGTCCATTGTCCTTGGGCCTTGATGTGACAGGACAAGAAGTTTTCGTGCGGAGCCGACGTCAACGTGAACGAGTGGTATTCGGTGGACTTGAGCGCCGTACAATTCAACCTCACCCATTGTCCGGAAAGGTATTTGAAGTTTGGCGGACGATAGAACTTCACTTTCAGAACGTCGGATGGCAGCAATTCCGTTTCCAGGATATCCAACGCCATGTATTTGGTCCTCAGGCTGACCACTTTGTCCAGAATGAATATGATGCCCGGACCGATGAAGTACTTCCAGAACGTCGGCGGTCCCGTTATCCTGGCCAGTCCATGCAACAACATGAGCACATACATGGCTACATACAGACAGTGCGTCGACCAGAAATAGGTGTACGCCTTTTTCCGTATGATCGGATGGGCGAACGTAAATATGGTGATCATGATCACGAACAACAACACTCCGGTAATGCCTACGATAGTAAGTATAAAAAGGGGTTTTTGATACAGATTGATCGACAAACGCATAAGTATATCATGTACTCTACTCTGATTCACACGTACCGGTGATGGTTTTGAACAGCCAAAACGAAATGCCCGGTTTGTAATCCGAAGAAAAATGTATTTCCGACGTTAGGCAATGGATGTTCTCAAGCGGCTGCGTGGAAACATGGTAGAAGTTGATGATGTGACCGACGGTGTGTATGATGGAGAAGAAAAATGCCGTGCAAGCGACCACTTTATGGAACGGTATGTGCGAATCCAAAGGTATGTACTGTTGTATGGAAAAATCTTTGAGTTTCGTCAACAAATTCCTCGACATGGATAGCAACAAGAGGCAATAGCCAAACGACAGGGCAGCCGCAGAACCTCTCGTCACTGCTATACCCACTCCCATTATGTGTCGAAGATCAGTGTGTTCGGCCAAAAATGAATAATCTGTACAAGCACAATGAAATGATACACAACATAACTTAATTAAGTACAAAGATCAAAACTTAACACTCACATATAAATTGCTTAACGAATAACGCTATGGTGATCACGTAGAATATGAACAAGTAAAATATGTTTTGTCGATTTTCTTCCAAGTACGTTACTATACAGTCTATGCGACTCTTTATTTTCCCCTTGTCGTCGTGCATTGATGGGTCGACGTGAAAACTGGTCATTCTTTAAACAGGAAAATCAAATTGTCGCCAATAGAACAAAATACCATAAATAGATAGAGCGAGTAAAATTGAAATACTACCTAGCGACGTTTGTGGAAGTGTCCAGGAAATTTTGCTTGGCTCCTTTACAATCCAAACCGATGGCGACAAAGTCACCTTTGTATTCTTTCATCATCAACTTGAAGTCGGCATACGTCAAAAAGTCTTTATTCGACAGTCCTGCGTTCTGCGAAACAAATTTGAAATAACAAAAGAAGTTTACAACACTGTTTTATATTAATAAAAACTGCTAGTAGTCACTTGAAACATTCCGTCGATCAGTTCGGTGACATGAGCATCGGACAAACTAGTAGTTCTGGCGATTTCCACCAACGACCTGAGCATTTCGGAAAATTCTCCTTTGTCGATGACACCGTTGCGATCATTATCGCACATGTCAAATACGATCCGAAGTTTGTCTTCGGTTTTACCCCGAGAAAATAACACGACGGTATCCAAAAATTCCTAAAACACAACAAAACAACAATAAAAAAAAATTGAATAGCTGTCATCACTTGAACGCGATTGGTTATCCGACTGAACTTACTTGGAAAGAAATTCTCCCGTCTCCGTCTTTGTCCACAATATTGAACATCATCCGGACAAACACTGCGTCGGGTTTCATGCCCAACGCCGAGGCAAATTCGGCTTTCGACAAAGATGTCCTCATTACTACCTAAAACATTTTTTTTTTTAAATTTAATATAGCTAAAAATTGATTTTGTTTTTATTTGATTACTTCTCCGTCCTCGTCGCTTCTTTTCCTTTCGCCCGGCCGAAGACCAAACGTCAGAGCGTACGCTTCTCTAAAGAAGTGTTCCAGTCTTCTCTGCCGTCTCTCGCGCGTTTCAGCCTTTGCCAACAGGAAATCTCTGGGAGCTTGCATTGTCACCAGGTGCTTTTTGTGAGAATTCAAGAACGCTTCCAATTTGTTGACGAATTTCCGTCTCTCGCCAACCGAATCGAATTCAAGAACGAGATCGTGGTCTTTCGGCACACGAATCAACACCAACGGACGTTTTTTCTTTCCGCTTTCCGCCTGGAGGAATATATTTTTTTCAATAAGCCACTTAACTCATCAATAATATTATAGTATTCATTATTTGATTTTGTACAAGCTTTACCTGCGATTCTTCAACGGTAATTGTATCGCAGTTTTCAAAGTTTACCGATCTAAGTTTTTCGCCTTTTCGGTCAACCGTGTGAAGATTGGCTTGAGGTCCGAACCTCACTTTTACCAAACGTCTATGGTTCGCGTGTAACCACTCTCTGACGGACATTTTGTCCACCATTATACCGTGTGTCTTGTTACCGGATTTCAACTCCTCTTGTTTCATCCTCAAGTGTCTCTTTCGTTTGTTCTGGAGTTTGACAACACCGTAACCAGCTCCGGCACATATAAGCGGGACCACGCCCAAGAATATGCAAACGTATATGTAGGCCAACTCGTTTCCCTAGAAAAGTATAAATTAAGAAATTAAAATCTAGTACATACAAAATACCGAGTGAGAGCTTACTTCGAAATAATCGAACCCCTTCAAATACGAGCACGGTTCCAACGTGGACGGTTCTACTTGGCCAGGTTGCGGACACGGATCTCCGTCGTTCCAGAAAAATACTTCTCGTTGTATTGTGTCCGGCTCTATGTCGGTGCAGTTGACTATTATGTCCCAAAGAGACACAGTCCGAATCCATTCGAACTCCTTATCCGTAAACATCCTGTTGTGTGAACATTGACGATTTATGACAATTAGGTACACCGCAACAACAAAATATACATTGATGCACATGGATTATTATTTCACTTACTCGTTATTTCTGTTTTCAAACCAGAACCGATCCGAATCCCGAATCCGAACGAATTGATCCAGTATAACGGCGGTAAATAATTCTCCGGGACCGCCTTTGGATTCCAGCATTCCGCCGATGTACAAATCAATATCGTCGACACTGCCGTAGGCTTCTTCTAATTTCGCAGCTAACGCCGGGTGACGTTCGAACAGTTCCTCGTTGATGTCTTCGAATTTCTCAACTCTGGGAAGTTGGAAATACGTTCTAATCTACGAATTACCAGTGTCATCAACACGGGAGTTTTTGCCGATTTCCTCGTTTCGTTTCGAATCTACTTTGAAACACTTACCGTATTGTAATCGGCCAATCCGTTGTCTCGACCTCTCATTATGTTCAAGGCTCCTAGATCTCTCCGGGAGAATTCGTTGGGTCCGAACAATTTGTCCCGGACGTCCGAACACAGAACCGCGTCTTCGCGTTCAGCCAGCTGAGAAGCCATTCCCAACATAAATTCCTCGACACTGCTGTCGGACATGACGTCCTGTTTTAGAAGAAAAAAATATTTTAAAATACCAATAACGAGACGGTAGTCAACGAGATTAGGTTTGTCGGTCTCGTGTGTATACACTCACGCTGGAATCCCACCAGTACGCACAAAGTCTCAATGCCGGATTGCCCATGGCCGTTTTTCTGTAATTGCATTTCCCGTCCCTTCTGTATATCCCGGGCGGTATCAACGTGTGTCCGAAACGGAATGCGGCCGACTGAAACGCGTGGCTTACACCGGGGTGCACGTCCAACTTGTACCCGGTGTATTCTGGTAGCTCTTGGCCCAGGAACGCAGGAATGTATTCGTACGCTATGATGTTCTAATGTTGGAAAAGAAAAAAAAACATTTACAACGATTGATTAGATCAGGGATAGGACTTTTGTGTGAAATTCCCAACCTGAAGAGTGGCTATGACGTAACGTCTGGCTTTTTGGAAGACTTCTTCGTCGGACCAGTCGGGATGCTCTTGTTGTACCTTGCCGGCGAGTACATTGTGCCACTTGAACAACAGTATTCCGAACGACAGCAACGCCGGATTTTGATTACTCCTGGGATCTCCTAACACTGAAAGCACAAAGACACGGTTGATAGAGGTTTGGCGTGCAATTCAAAAAAAGGGCGTCGGATACCCGTGACTTACAGAAGAGCCTTTCCGGACTTAGGGTCCGAAGAATATTAGGAACGGGGTTGTTAAACAACGGCACTCGTTTCGTGTTGCGCACTGGAAATCCAGAAGCCGAATCGCTCAGCAGTGTGCCGTTTTTAAACGATCGCATGGCGTTCACCCACGCTTCGCTGGTGCTGTAAATGAAGCTGCCGTCGATCCAGCTGGTAACTCGGTTGATCTATAGAAAACGATCGTGGGTGAAAAAAATCTACAAGCCGAGCGACTCGTGTCGTACAAATAGCAAGGGTTAAACACAATATGTATGCACCTGTTGTCTCGGTGTATTTGGACTTTGACCGGTGTTTCGGTCGTAACCAGCCCTGTGAAAAGGTATCGATTTTCCACCTTCGCACTCGTGGTCGTACATGTCGTCGCACTTGTCTATTTCGATGTCGTGCACTTCGATGGGACATCCGCTTTCGCTGCCCATCACCACTTCCGAGCTGACCACTTGACCTGTGCGAGAAAATGCGTACAATCAGTTATGGCGATCGCACAAACACAAACCATAATCAAATAATCGATGCAAAATTGATGTTGGGCTCTGATTGTATTAAGATGAACACGTTTTATGGCCAGTGGTCAGTTAAAACCGACCAGACGTATCCCTCTTTATCATAGTCCCTTATCTCTTATCACTATCTGTTATCATCATTCATTATCTCTTATCATCCTTCTTTATCTCTAATCACTTCTCATTATTACAAACTACCAGCTGGTGAACCGCGTGAATCGTTTAGTTGAGATTAAGAGTGGGTAGATACCATGAAACGTGTTCACGATTCAATTGCTGTTCCTTCTGGAATAGGAGAAAATCGGTTATTATTTTGTTTTCGCATACCGAAAAACGCCAACAGAGCTGTCCGGTTGTGGGACGACGGCAAACCGTCCGATCCTTTCATGAACAATGAACTCAACTTCCTGGGACTCGGTCTGTCTTGGCCGGCCATCATGTACACTCCGTCTGAGTACGCGGGTGGCGTTTTCCTCGTCATTTGGCTGTCTGTAAGTAAAAAAAACCATTCGTGATCGGTGTGAATAGTTAGGAATGAATGAATGAAAAAAAAAATGCATATTATGTTCTAATAATATAATTTATTGTCAAAGTACGTAAATGGTAAACACGACACCGGTCGACCGCCGAGGCCGTTCGGCGTTTGCTATTCGTAAATTGGGCTAAGGAGCGGCAAATCAACTGACTATTGTTTGCTGTGTTTCGAGTCGAATAATGTGTGTGCACGCGTGTGTTAAGTGTTACGACAAAAGAATGCGCCACGCAAACGGCGAGAAAAAGAAAGAATTAAAAAAAAAAAACCGAGAGATCCAGTTCAAGAGTTCGTTTTAACCTTACGCCTTATTCGAACACCATCGGGGCTATAATATAATGGCCGTCTTAAAATTAATAGCGTAATTGCACAATCGTATTCGTTCTTAAAAAAAAACACTAAGTTGCAAACAAACACACACATAACGTCTGTATCGATTAAACCCTAATCGTATCGAGTGTCACGGTCGGTTACGGTAATTATATTATACAAATAAAAGCCGTTCTTTTTTTTCCTTCTCTCGAGAACAGTAATAACGTTTTAATTGACACTCAGTTCTGTAAGTAAAACAATTACAATCAACATTAGCTACTCTTTATAGTTTATTAGACGTACACTCATTGCCGCGGTTGCACGCTTTGCTCGGCCAACTTTACGATCACGACCAAAGTAATTTTTAAAAGGATTTTTTTTTTATAAACGACAAAATAATAGCGCCCATTTGTTATTGGGACGCAGAAAGTTTATCACGATTATATTATTATTGTTATTGTATCAATTTTACACTCGGTTGCAGTGTATTGCATCATGGTATTATATGGTTTTGCGGCAGCGACGCAATGCATTTCAATAGCTTCGACTCGGTACACTTTCTGCAGGCAACAAAAACTTCACACGAACCGTACCGAAAATATCAATTAATTTATCCTTAAAATAAGCGTGCGATTTTCGTGTGCGCTTAATGTCAGCAAGTCGAAAATTATTATCCTCGGGCTCTAAGAACAGTGAAATAACACAAAAGAGAAAATAAACGGCAACGAGTAGTGTTCGTATTGTTGAAATGTCAATGGCCCTTTTACCCGACGTAATTTGTTATTTTTTATAGTCTTAAGAGCCGTTAGAAATGTAGGTACAATAAAAAAAACCGCTCGGATACATGGGGTTACATTGTTGAAACACATATACCATGCTCGGACTACTAAAAGTATGAAAAAAAAAATCAAGAATAGTTTATAAATAAAAACCAGAATAACTTCGTGGAACTTTGTATTTCGACATCTATGTCGCCATCGTCAGTGCCGATCAGCGCTGAATATGTTTAAATTTATCATTGTTGGGTTTTAATAAAAAGTTAAAAGAAAAGTTTAATATCTTTTAAGATGTTGACCGGATCATTGTTAGCCAATCACTCTGTTAAAAAATATTTTTATTTTTAGCCAAACTTTTAGTAAAAATTCCTCTTTTTTTAAAGAGAAACATGTATGAATATGTTTTAGGGCACCTAAGCACTCCTTGTTTGAACTAAAAATTTCACACAATTTTATTATTTTTAGTGTAAGAAAGTAAAGAAATAGATTAAACGAGTAAAGAAATAAAGTAAATTAGCAAACAAATAGAGTAAATAAGTAAATAAATAAAATGAACAACTGGTCTGACTTTTTTTTTTACCAAAAAGTGTTAGCCAGCCATTAGACATAAACAAAGCCCGTTGCAATTAACCGATTTAATATATTATCCTAACATGTGTAACACACGTGAGCAGATTAAAGTGAAAAACGTCCATCGATGGCGAGTTGAACGATTCGAGGCCACCGTGTGCAACCGATTTCCGAGGCCGATTTTCGGGGCGTCGACGCATCGCCTCCGGTCAAATATTGTGAAAATGATAAGTCCGATAATTGTATCTACTGGCCCGACCGATCCGACGACATTGACCGCAGTCTGTTGAAGCTTACGGAATACGTCATAGTAAATAAATTCCCACGAAAAACCTTTTGGGTCGACCCTAGAGGCGACATGTTGTACTACCCAGAACGGGGATAGGTCCTACGTTACAAACATTGTAATATTATAACATGTATGTCCTGGCGAAACAGCAAAACTTGCATGACGTGTAACAGAGCCGTAGAGTAAAATTTATCGATCCAATAATGAATTATTATTTTGCAACAGGCACACACCGGTTGACCTCATAACCGTCAATATCGGTCACGCCGAAAGATAGATAAAAATGAAAAAAAAATCTGAATTTATCTGCAAATGCAGATGTAATTGTGTGATTTTCCTTGAAATCCCTGATTTTTTAAAAGTTCGTTTTTTATCCGTAATAAATTCGACAGCTTACATTTTTCCTAAGATCGGAAAACCGCACAAAATGAACAGTCTTTCTTTTTTAAACAAAAATATAAATTACCGAAATCCGATTACTGTACGAGACGTGTCATCATTTTGGCCGGAAGGTGTACATTATGCATATATTTATTACTTTAACTAACATTGAGATCAATATTTATTATTAATTTTTTTATTGCGCAATATTGTGCGAACTGTGTGAGACGATCTCGTTTTAAAAGGTAAATAATACATAGTTATCTTACGCAGCCTTCGCGTTTTTTACCCATTTAACTATTAGCTTGTTAAACTTGCATCATTAACGACACGAATACGGACAAAGTTATGTCCAGGGAATGAGTGGTGGTTTTTTTAAGGATAAAAAAGTACGTGTCTTTTTTTTTTTAACTAAAAATATCCCTCTACTTTAATTTTTCCAATTCGAGCACTGTGTTAAGCTCACAAGCGAATCCAAGCGATGCACCAAAGTATTGTATTTTAACATATAACAAAAGAAGTACCTAAACAAACCCAGTTTCTCTTTTCGGTCATTAATTACGATAAATTTACATTTTTTTTTCACTGCGGTAATAAACATTTGTTATCGTGATGTTGGTAAAAATATAATAAGTATAATTATTATTACAATTCGCTAACGCCCGAAGGGGCACATTAGGCGGCTGTTAGGTGGCCGGGAACTAAAACAACAGAACAGGGATGTAATTATTATTGTAAATTTTATGTACCGGTTAAAAGATTAATGGTGTCCGCCCACGACAGCGAGCGCCGAGTGCAAAAAACCGATTGTTTCGTCGACCATTAAATAGAAAAAAAATGTAAAAAAAAAAAATCAGCTCGGTGAACCCAATTATATACAAAAGCGGCGTGCCTACATGTGTGATGGAATAGCTTATGCAACGCTAACCCGAGTGACGACCTTGCTTCAGTTTCGTACCAGAAACAGAGTGGCCTTCGGAAGTGGAAAAAAAAAATCTAAAACCACAATAATAACACCGAGGCGGTATCGATGCAGTTTCTTCGTTAGAAATTTAAATCCGGGAATGACATAACGATTACATTGAAATTTGTGAGGAGTGGAAACAGTACATATTATTATTATTATACTCGCACGCGATTACTTTAAACGGTGTCGGTGATCGTTGGCAATTAAAGATTTTATGATAATATATATTTTTTCCTACGTCTACACCTACACACTAGCCGGTCCAACGATTATTAAGTAATAATAACAATGAAAATAATATTATATACTTAGATGCGATCGACCAAGGAAATTCGTTTGATTTTTTGAGAGACATTTTTTTTGCGTCACGCTAAATTATTTACTCATTTAATCAATTTACTTACTCTCTAACTAGATTAGGTTACTTGTTTACTCTATTTATTAACTTGTTTACTCTATTTATTTACTCGTTTACTCTATTTTTTACTCGTTTACTCGATTTATTTAATAAAGCCTAAGCACAATATCTTGCTTCAAGCATTAGCTCATATTTCACGAATTTTCTATTATAATTCTGTCGTGTGTAGGTAAAGGGGAATAAGTCTATACTTGCTGCTTTACGAAAAGTGCAAATAAAACTTGTTTTAGTCTAATTTATAAAATTTGTTTCGAGATACCTCTATGCAAAAACAAGTTATGTCAATATAATTTTTGTGCATAAAGAGATAAGCCAACTTGACTTGTTTAGCACAGACTCGATATGTGATGGTATATCTGTGTGCATAAAGAGATAAATGAGTTATCCTTTTTTGGGAAAACTAGATCACTTCAGTATCGATTAATCCCCTTTTTACATAGCAATATTAAGGTTTAAAATTCTACGACTTACCCTGTTATGCCCAAACGTAAACAATTTTTTTTTTTGAAAATATTCTAAACAAATTACCACAAATTTGAATTTTCCCACTCATCCACCTTTACTCAAACACTACAGAATTTATCAATGCTAATGTTATATTTTTTAGGTGTGTGTGTGTGTGTGTGTACAATCGTTATGTAATTAACACCAACAATTATCTTTAGAATTTGATACTGATTATTGTTTTTGCAATCTATAAATAGTATGACCTAGGTTAGAACCTAGAAAGATGGTTGTAGCCGATATAAAATTGTTGATTTTATCCGAACACCGAATTATATCGTTTGGGGCAGCCGTTACTTAGTTACTTTGCAGAAGTTTAAAAAAAAAAAAGTTCACGTGGGCCATAAAATAACACATGTGTGCACATGATATTTTTCTGGCGGTGGGTGGCTAGTATAATAATATGTCCAGTTCAGGAATAGTGGGCTGACCGGTGAACACTCAACAAGTATCCGGCAAAAATATGTTAATAACTACTAGTTAAAAAAAAAAATTGAATCAATATTTGGACTTTATTTGATCAAACCCAGATCGTTTGTCGAGCCAAAATTAATTAAAGTTACGCGTTTACTTCCTGTAAGTTATGTAATTGAATTTTAGCTCATTGTCTACGAAGGTCGACTAATAAATCGTAATAACATGTAACACCGGCTTCTGTCCAGCGGTTGTATGTGTACATAATATACTGTAATGTAGATTGATATTAAAATTGTAATTATAATAATATGAAGTTGTAAATACCATATTATAATCACAATGACATTAGTCGCTCGTGGATAATGATACAGATTTAATAACCTAATGATATTTACAAGAAAATAATCGATGCGTTAATAATTGACTTAATAACTCAATTATATTAATAAAAAAATAAAAAATGTTGTTTCAAATAAAAATAAACCAAGTCTTAAGAGGGTTGCATGCGGTCGGTTTTTAAGGAGTTTTGTATTTAAGAATCCCCTTGACGAACACAGGAAATCGCTCAATAAAAAAACTCTGTCAATTTTGTTTTTTGCCAAATTGTTGTGAAAATCGACTTGCGTTTTGGAAGACGATGAAGTTTGTTTCTCGTTGGAAATATAATTTTTGATGTGTTATTAATATAATATCTTAGTCTTTCGGTCGGCGGGTCTGTGGCATTGGATCACAATAATATTCCATTATATGATGGTTTGATCGTATTATTATTATTACTATGTACAAACGAAAAACCGCGTGCAATCAAACACAAATTCAGATTCGTTGGTCACGACTTGCAAAACCGCAAACACAAGACAAGTGTAATTCAGTAGAAACTCGGTGGAAATAACCGTCGGCCTGGCAGACCTTTGACGGCGAAGGTAAAAGGAAAATTAAAGAAAAAAATTATCGCCAATGACAACGTAGGACGGTAGTTTGGTGAATACGGAGAGGCCGACACGGTAACCTTCTCGGTTAACAGGAGATTTGATTCCAATCAACATTATTATATTATCATTTGGAGTCTGCAAAGTGTGCGCGTCCTGCTGGCGGCATTGACGGTAGACATTATTAACGATGCCGGAGATCTAGATCTCGCAACCTACAAACCATTCCCGGACAACCGTGATCGATAATGATATGATTCCATCGAGAAAAAGGTACACGACGGCAGTGACTCGTTAAAGTTATAAAAAAAAAAATTCTCCAACGGTGCCGGTGATGAAATGACTGGTTGGAATTTACTGGATTTGAAGGTTCCTAGATAAAACTACACCTACGCTTTGACTGAAGCGAAATCAGCGAGCGCCAATCAGATGCTATTGTAAAATGAAGTTTTAAAATTGTGGTGGGCTATATACTTCAAAATGTTAGGACAGATGTTACTGCAAATAGTGGATTTCGGAATAAGTGAGGGAATATCTACAATAACGATCCTATGGCACCTCTGAGGAGCAAGTCTTGTCATTTAAAAATGCCCTATAGAGCTACCATAGCTAAACACGATTGGAGCTTAGAAATAGATTACTGTATACTAGCAAAGCTGTATGGGGCAGCTACAAGACAAACGTCGAGTGATATGGCTGCCTGTGAGGTGTGGCCATTGGCGCAACTACATGGGGGAAGGGAAGTTCAAATCCTTCTAAACTTCAGGCTCTTAAAATATGTCAGTAAGGCTTATAATTTTTAATGAAATCCTGAAGGAGCTTGCACCAATTGGTGCGGCCTACCACCAAAAGAACGGTGTGGATATCGAAGGAATAGGAGTGGCACACTGGGAAGAATGGAATCGAGATTGATAGATAGACGGAGTGGCTTATCAATCGGTCTTAAAACCTTTTCTGCGAAGTGAAAGAATGAATGAGCCTAGGAATCTATTCGTTCGTATCAGTCGGGCTCTTGTCCGTATCCACAGGTCAGTATTGACGACCTAGTTGACAGGGCCATGTCTAAATACCGCAAGTAACCCTGCTGGTGATTTAGCTGAACTCCCAATTATTTTCCATACGTGTATACATGTATATTAACGAGCAATCAAGGTTCTTGGATTTACATTATAGAACAATTTTAACGAATTTAGGTTCTCCTGTCCCACCAAGATGCTTTAATAATATAATGTAATATATAAAAGTATCTAATGGTAAACGTCTCCATTGATTTGTTTTTTTTTTCTTTCAGTGTATTTAACGTCATTCGTGTCTGCTATTGTATTTGATACTACTAAATTTTCATAATAGTACATATTTTTTGTACTTTAGATCCCCCTATCTGTCATTTTAGGTATTGTTGGTCAATGGTAATAATTTTTTTTTTTAAACAGTTTCCAATATCCACTCGATATTTTAGCTATGAAGAATAACACAGTCGATGAAAATTACCAACACTGTTCGTTAAAGCCATAGAGGATATAAAGGGACTAGAATAGTTGAGTTCCTTCAGACTGGATTGACTGGTATTTTTACTCACCAACCGAACCCCAGTTGGGATGCGCCAAGTTGTTGAACCAACCATCGTACCGCTGTTTTTCCGTGAAGCTGAATTTCTTTTCTGCAATCAGAATAAAAATAAAAATAAATAAATATTTTTCAAAGAGCTGCGCAGCAAAGTGCGTCGCGGTGAAACGACAAAACACGGTATGTCAGTCCAGGCGACCTGGTTGTTTTCGACAATGACCTTAATGAGCTCACGTAAACATTTCATACAAACGCCATTAATATAAAAAAAATATATAAATATTATATGTATAAAAAATAAATCTCTGGGCCCTAAAGGACGACGACGACGACGACAACGATGCCGGTTAAGTAACAACGCACGAGGTAAGTACGTCGACGATGGAAGATGAGGTAATTTCGCTCGGATACGTCTTATGGCCGCGGCTGTGTGTTGCATATGATCGAGGAAATCAAACGATCGTCACGATTCGTTTGGAAGAGATCGTGTAAACACAATATATTCTTGTTGTAGTTTTCCCGCCGTCTTAAGTATAATATATGCGCGGGTGTAATAATAGCATTATATTGTCATAAAGGCGCGCGATGGGGTACGGTAACACACGGTACAATATGGCCGAGGTCGCCTAAACCCGGAGACTTAAAAGCTGGAGACTTTATAGCGTTCATTAGATTCTGTCGCAATAATAATAATATTATATCGTACAATTGTCATCGGCTAATATAATTTATATACCGTACATTATATATATTATAGTGTAATTATTATTATTATTATTATCATTACAATAACCATAATGACGGTACATTACTGTCGTGCGACGTTCAGCTCTCTCTCTCTCTCTGGCGGATTCCTTCGCGACTTTACAATCTTAAGACACAGCGGCTTACACAACCGATCGGCCAACCTATCTAAGAGTTTATGAAAAAAAAATGTGTAAATCTAAATCGAAAAATAATGGTCTTTTTTTGTTCTTAATTAATGTAGCGGTATATAATACACGACCACGAACGCGGCGGGCGGTACGCCTGTTAAATCGATACCGTTTAGTGTACATTATACATATTATATGCGGACAATGCCCGTGTCTTAATGTAAGCCACGGGTGCGATGATCGTACCGAAGATTGTCGGCTGTAAATATTGTGATTTGTACGGTGTTGCGGGCTATTATAATATTATTATCGTTCCCAATAGGTTTATCTTGAGGACTAATCTATACGTATAATAGGTATATACATGAATGCCCCTGCGGCCCCTCCGACCATCTAGGCCAGCTATTCAATTTAACGTAGGTACCGTCTTGTCTTGGGTGTATCTACTATATATGTGCTATGTTATTTATACCTTAAGGACAATTATTCGCACGGCGGTACACGGTATAACCGTTTAAGAGCAATCCACTATACCTGATGTTTGTCTGATTTGCATATGACCAGACTTAATAATAATTACCTATATATATATTTATATACAAACCGTGTGGCAAGCTCTAGGTGTGAATCGCAAACGTGTCTTCGCCAGGCATATAGGCCAGCGAAAACCGTGTTAAGTCGCCGACCGAGAGATTAATGTGCACGTTTGATAAAAGGGTTAAACTCCATTTCCCGTGTACAACACTATGTGTTAAGCATTGCCTACTCGTTGAGTTAATAAATTCATTAAATAGGTATATGCATTCTAACAACAACAACATATAATAATACTACGGCGTGCACATTTGATAATGCAAATAGATTGCATATCGTCCTCGCTATGGGACACGTTCAGTATGTTTAGCAGCGATCAATATAGTATCTATGTACATATAAAAGCGTATCAGAGCTAGTTACCTAAACGAAACGTTTAATAATATTATGCAAATGAACAACGTGCGTTTATTATACATGTTTTCATCCGAGTTTAGTTTTAGTTCACATTACAAACGCCAATGTCGAAACCCAATGATTTAGGTCATATAAATTAACACTGCAAATAGTTATTCTATCAATGCGATTCCTAGTATTCCTCTGGAGAACAGGGTATAATATGTTTGTATAATATCATGCCATGTTCTTCGTGCAGCTTTCTTAAAGATACATAATATACGAAATATAACGCTTTGCTATGCATACGGTGACTTTAACGCTGAATAACTAAATCTTAATTCAAAAAAACAAAATAAATTTTAAAATACTTTTTTATTTTCGGTGTTGTTTTAATGCCAAATTGCCCGACTCGCAGTATAACATAACGGGAGACTTTATTTCATTTCTTGTTTGTTTTTTATCGTTCTGGAAAATTACACCCGTATAGTCGGTTCGTGACGGTCTTTTAATTAAACCAAGGAAATGGAACAATTTCAGTATCTACTACGTAGTGTTAACTGATGTAAACAAAATTTGAATGTTTTCTTTTTTAACATCGGTGCAATATATTTAACAGGTCTTATCGCGATCGAGTTCAGCGCGGGATCTCGGTACCCGAGGGCCTATGCCTAATACGTGCGAGTCAAATTTCTAGGTCCCAAGGTTTGGCCGAATAAAAGCCAAAATGGGACAAGACCTCTGCGTGGATTGCAATCTCTATAGTAACATAGTGGCGGATAATAATAAGTAAAACGACGGCAAACGACGGTTAAGATTAAGCGGTTTTTGGGGAGAACCGTAGACATGCAGACACACAACACAGTAATATATAATATATATATATATATATATATATATATATAAATAAGTAGTCGGCTGTCGAAATAACAAAAAAATACCGGCTTAAACGTCCTTAGCAAAAATGTCTTGAAAACCAATGAGCAGTGCTCTGGAATTGGATGTTTTTTTTATTTTGTAATATGTTATTATTATTATTATCATTACAGCCGTGAGTCGTGACCCACACGTTAAGTTCTCACTTCTCGTCTGAGCAAAAGATAATTAAAATATATACATATACCTATGTATATATATATATATATATATATATATATATATATATTATGACGTCGTTATTCGGTCGCGGTGACTAAGCCGACGGCTGCTCGAGAACATAACTATTTTGGTCGTCGATTCAGTTAATATAAGTCAAGGTCTCTCGCATCAGTCATCTCCTAGTTCTAAACCATGTGCAATTAGTAATGCTGTTAGGTATTTTAAATTAACGGATCGAACCCAAACGAATATTCTCCGAGAAACTGTTTTTTTTTTTGTCAAGTTTGGATTTGTCAAAAACTTTATTTTTCTGTCCGGTAATTAGATAACTCCGGAACGTGTAATTATGTGCGATTGGTGTAAAGTGTAAACCTGTAATTTCAGTAGCGACCTCTGGGCTCGGGGAAAAAAATGGCGAAAGCAAATATTATCTAGGCATTATAACAGCCATGTTGAACCGACCGACGAGACTCGCACGTGCGTTCATGCGTTATTTCGAATATAATACTTAATTATAAAATTCTGTACTGCTGGTTAGACGTTTTTTTTTTTTTATAAAAATAGTATTTCCATCCAAGGATTGCCGTGGATCTGTGCAAACACCGGACGGTCCCCATTATCATGCCTTCTCTCGGCTCCTGTCGCCAACACGTGGACGCGTTGCGCAAGTACCAAGCAAAACCCGTACTTAGTAGATTACTTGTCAGTGATCTGACAATTGATATGATTAATTTTCGATTTGACATGACGTACAATCACCTTTGTTCGTGCGCTATCAAAATAGTCAAACCCGATACGGCCATAACGGTTAGCTAAAATAATTATACCCAAATATTGTGTTTGCAATTTCTTTGACGGTGTTGATTGAATTATTAAAAATAACTGTATTTTATTATAAAAAATAAACTTGGTTTGGTTATTGTATACCTAAGCATTTTTTTCTATACATTTGTCAGCCTAATTGTATTTACCGACCACTAGCAGTGGAGATTTTGTATAGGAGTACTTGTTGGGCCACCCACCATTGCGTCGGCTGTTTAAGTCTCCGGAAATGAGTATGTAGAAAAAATTAAAACATTTTCGTTATTAAACGCACGTTCAACGACGACGTTATGTTTTGATTTTGAAACAACTTCGATTGAGACACATTTTGAAGTAGAGTTTGCCCGAGGCGCCGTTTGACCTGGTAGGTATCAATTAAGTTTAAGTTTGACAGTTATAGTTTAAAAAAAAAACGCAATGACTCATGATGCTATAGCAGTTATGGGTAAAACCACTCAAGTGTTTTGTCGATACATTATGTATAAAATAAATATAATACTGAAGTGTACGAATAGAATTAGATATAATAACAGAATATGATATTGTAAAAGTCGGTTTGATCGCAGATCGTGATCGAGAATGAAATAATGACAAACGAATTATTATTGTGATGATAATTGATCGCTTATAAAAAATAATTGGCGGCAGGATTGTGTACACGACCGCCGCCGTGTAAGCACTGAAAGCAGGATGAGTAACCGCTGAAGAATTAATAATGTGCTGATACATATACCTAATACGCGTGGCCTACCGTCGACCTTCGGTAGACTTATATGGAAAATAATGTTCCCATTTGCAAACGTACAATATCGTTCCAGTGTACAACCGGGTCGGGATAGGCTACAGATTTATGCACGCGATAAAAGCAGTGTAACCTGATAATAGTGTACAAAGAGTTGTGAGAAAAAAATTAACAATATATTACAAATTTAAACTACATTATAATATTATATATATTATATTATAGTAAGGTGTATTTTTTGGTTTAAACAGGAGAATGAAGTTCGATTACATCATGTTAATCAATCATAATAATATTATTAATAATTGTATTATGCGGTAACGGTGACTTAAGTGACAAATATTAACATAAACACAAACAAAACATGTCGCATTTGCCAAACCGTTTTGTTGTGCCGAGGTTGACGGTAGTATGTAATATTATTTCATTGACAAAGTAAAAACAAAACATAGTAGAATATTTAAGTATATTGCCCAACGTTATAATAGTATAATCATCAGCCGATGAGTAAGGCGTTAAGGGAATTTATTGGTTTTTGGAACAAGTTCAAAACCACTGTAGGATTTTGAACCCGTTACGGCCGTGCTAAACGGTAAACCTCATATATATATATATATATATATATAT